GAATTAAATGTTACCTCTAAGTTTATTTTAGCCGAATTAATATGATTACTGGGATTATTTAGAGTGTTTTTCCCAATGCTCCATGTATACTTGAGAGAGAAAGAGCATGTACATTTCCTTGCCCAGTTCATACTTGTGATATATGCACCAGTTATTATTAAAAAGCAGATATTAATGCTCATTTTCATGCCATAAAATCTTCCCCTTTTTTTTCAATAAGCTTCCATACTTTTTTTTTTTGCTAAGCAAGGCTACAAAAAACCTCTATATTTATATTCAGAGCCCTGCATTCGTATTTAGGCATAAGTCCCATTCACCTGAGTGGGTTTTTATGGGATTTTTGGCTGAGGCAAGACTAGAAGATGCAAACCTGATGTTCATATATTTTGATAAAATCATCTTCACACATTTTGAATTCTTCAGTGCTGACAGTATTGATTTTTTTTTCTATATCCTAGTGACTCAGTGCATTGAATATTTAATAATACAGGTGATATTAGGCTGCATTGTGTGACTCATGTAGACAACATAATAATTGAAACCAAATCTTTGTCCTTCTATATAGTGTATGCAAGGCTGGGAATTTGATCTAAATGAATACGTCTTTCAAAAAATCCCGAGTACATCAGTGGCAATGTAAAAGAAGCTAGAATAAAGTGGACATTAAAAAAAAAAATGAAACAGTTTTAAAATTTCAAAATATTTTGCTGCCATCTTCTGGAATTTAATAAAATAGCCATCTCAAATCTTTGTAACATGGACATAATTTAGCCTTCAACAGGAATTGCTAATGTTATTTCCGAGAAAGAATACCTACATCTTGTCTTTACTACTTTTTAAATTCCAAACAAGTATGTCCAAGTACATCAGTGGCAAGGTAAAAGAAGCTAGAAAAAAGTGGACATTACAAAAAAAAAGAAACAGTTTTAAAATTTCAAAATATTTTGCTGCCATCTTCTGGAATTTAATAAAATAGGCGTCTCAAATGTTTGTAACATGGACATAATTTAGCCTTCAACAGGAATTGCTAATGTTATTACCGAGAAAGAATACCTACAACTTGTCTTTACTACTTTTTAAATTCCAAACAAGTATGTCCAAGTTCACATTCTACAGAGAGACGGAATAGCACATCTTCACATTTAAGGCTTTTATATGTGAATACAATAGAAAAAAAAAATTGTGCATCAAGCATAACTCTCAACAAATAGCATGAATTATCAGCAGATCTAGCATTATTTGGTTGTTAAAAAATATAGGTAAATAAAGCAAGGAGCTGCTCATAGATGACACATAAATATCAATAATCATTCACAATAAATTGTTAGTTTAAACCCAAAGTTACTCATTAGAACTTGGGGCCTCTTTCCCCCAGGTGTGTTGTGGCCTTTGCGTAACTGCACTGCTTTTAGAATGTAACTCTACATAAATAAACACGAGGCAAACAAGTCCTCAGGCTTTGGGCTCTGTCCTACATATTCTCTCCCTGTTTCTGCAAAAAATGTAAAACTGTAATGTATTTTGGGGAAGATTAGTATCTGCAAATATAACGCCAGTACAGAGAGTGTCAGAAGTTCTTTATTATCACTAAGACAACCGAAGCACTAATTTTATTTTAGAAAAGTAGCGATCACAAGCATTTAAACTGGAGGAAGAACAGAGGTTTTCCATATCTGTACACGGTCTTGAAATTTGACAGTTTTCATAGCACATCTTCACATTTAAGGCTTTTATATGTGAATACAATAGAAAAAAAAAATTGTGCATCAAGCATAACTCTCAACAAATAGCATGAATTATCAGCAGATCTAGCATTATTTGGTTGTTAAAAAATATAGGTAAATAAAGCAAGGAGCTGCTCATAGATGACACATAAATATCAATAATCATTCACAATAAATTGTTAGTTTAAACCCAAAGTTACTCATTAGAACTTGGGGCCTCTTTCCCCCAGGTGTGTTGTGGCCTTTGCATAACTACACTGCTTTTAGAATGTAACTCTACATAAATAAACACGAGGCAAACAAGTCCTCAGGCTTTGGGCTCTGTCCTACATATTCTCTCCCTGTTTCTGTCCGAGAGATTTTCTTCTGCAAAAAATGTAAAACTGTAATGTATTTTGGGGAAGATTAGTATCTGCAAATATAATGCCAGTACAGAGAGTGTCAGAAGTTCTTTATTATCACTAAGACAACCGAAGCACTAATTTTGTTTTAGAAAAGTAGCAATCACAAGCATTTAAACTGGAGGAAGAACAGAGGTTTTCCATATCTGTACACGGTCTTGAAATTTGACAGTTTTCTTTTGATGCATGAGATCAACGTTCCCAGAGGTTTGGTTGCCTCCATCACTGGTCATACAGTGGACAGATGGCCTCTAGGACACCCAGCTGTCCTAGAACTGTCTAGGACAGTATGTGTGCTGCTTGGCATGGTGCTTGGTCAGCTGGGGGTTGGTGTTTGCCAGGTGAAATAACTGCAGCATTAGGAGATATAAACACCAGGCAATTTACTTTTACGCCACTGTCATTCCTTCACCTCTAAAATTTCATTCGGGTTAATGCATAGGTGCTATGAGATATTATGGAAAGTGATGTTCACGACAGTGCTTAAATCCTAAATAAGAAGTTTTGGACAATTATCTGACCATAAGAGCAGGGTTGATGAACCTGTGTCACTCCTGTCTCCTACTGTGATGGCATGTGCTGAGTGACATCCATGTACATACATCTTGTGGTAACAGCTGTGTGGCTTATACGAAGGATACGGGCATAAGTTTCAGTGGTTGCCAGTGAGAGGACGAGGGGCAACGGGCACGAGTTGGAACATAAGAGGTTCCACTGAAATATGAGAAAAAACTTCAGGTCAGGGTGACAGAGCCCTGGAACAGGCTGCCCAGGGGGTCGTGGAGTCCCCTTCTTTGGAGATTTTCAAGACCCGCCTGGATGCAGTCCTGAGTAACATGCTCTAGCTCTAGGCAATCCTGCTTCAGCAGGGGAGTTGGACTAGATGATCTTTATGGTCCCTTCCAACTCTAAAAATTCAGTACTTCAGCTGGCTTCTGCAGCTGTGTGAAGTCTGACTTTGGCCCGGGTAAGAAAGTTGCTCAGCACTGACAGAAGGCGCCAATTTTGACACACAGATCATAGAATGGTTTAGGGTCCAACCCCCCTGCCATGGGCAGGGACTTTCAGCTGGCTTATGCAGCTGGGTGAAGTCTGACTTTGGCCCAGGTAAGAAAGTTGCTCAGCACTGGCAGAAGGTGCCAATTTTGACACACAGATAATCATAGAATGGTTTAGGCTCCAACCCCCCTGCCCTGGGCAGGGACACCTCCCACCAGACCAGGTTGCTCAAAGCCCCATCCAGCCTGGCCTTGAACACTGCCAGGGATGGGGCATCCACAGCTTCTCTGGGCAACCTGTTCCAGTGTCTCACCACCTCATGATAAAGATTTTCTTTCTAGTATCTAATCTAAATCTCCCCTCTTCCAATTTAAAACCGTTGCCCCTTGTCCTGTCACTACACTTCCTGACAAAGAGTCCCTCTCTGGCTCTCCCGTAGGCTCCCGTCAGATATTGAAAGGCTCCTATAAGGGCTCCCCGGAGCCTTCTCTTCTCCAGGCTGGACAACCCCAGCTCTCTCAGCCTGCCCTCACAGCAGAGGGGCTCCAGCCCTCTCATCATGTTCCAACAGGTCCACGTCCTTCCTGTGCTGAGGGCTCCAGGCCCGGTCACAGCACTGCAGGCGGGGTCTCCCCAGAGCGGGGCAGAGGGGCAGGGTCACCTCCCTCCAGCCACCGGTCCCCTGTGCCGGTTCCCTACGCCTCGGCGGGCGGTTACGGAACACGGGGGGCCTCGAGGTCCTGTCTGAGCGGCGCTGTAAGGCTCAGCCTCGGGGGGCTGCGGGGGCCGCCGCCACAAGGCCTGAAGGCGGAGCCGCTCCGCCGGGCCGCCCTCCTGCGTCGCGGCGTTGCCAGGCGACGGGCGGGGCCGGGGCTGCCGGGGATCTGTGAGGGCCGGGGCGGGGGCCGGCGGCAAAAAAAAAAAAAAAAAAAAAAAAGCCGATTGGGTGTCAAAATGAAAGCGGGGAAGCAGGTTTCCTGCCAGAAGCCGCTCCCCGCACATCACCTGGGGAGCGATGGGTCTGAGGCCGCCCCTGTGGCTATTGGTCCTGCAGAGGTGGCTGTGGCTGGAGCAATGGCTCTAAGGCCGCCCCTGTGGCTGTTGGTCCTGCAGAGATGGCTGTGGCTGGAGGACCGGCAGTGGCCAACAGCAGGTGCCTCAGGAGCAGGGTGAGATCCACGTCAAACAACCTGCTCTCCAGCCTTCGCTGGTTTGTGCCTCGGGGTCTGCCAGTCTGGAGATGCTGCTGTATTTCCTAATGTATCTGTAATCTATAAATAAGGCCAGTTGCTTTCAGAACCCATGTAAGCACGCTGTGTCCGTGATGCCCTGCACTAGAGACTCCAAAATACCAGCAGTGGCTCATGTGAAGTTCATCCTTGGTTTGGGACCTGTTGCCTGCGTCAGTTTCTGGCAGTCAGTGGGGAGGTCACAGGTCCCCGCTCGCCCACTCTGCCAGGCAGGACTATGCGGACCGTTTGGTTGTACTCTGGCCGATCAAAACATGTGAAAGGCAGAAAAAGTGTCACATGATAATACAAGGTCAGTAATTGCCAAAAATGGAAGAGAGATGTGGGAGTTGGACTAGATGATATCTATGGGCCCTTCCAACTCTAAAAATTCAGTGAAAATCTGCAAGATCTGTTCCTTATGAAGATGAAATATAAATTTATACATGGAGGGTTTTTTTTAACACAGAAAAATTGGTTGAATGATAATAAAGTGAATGCACTGTATTTTACTTATCCTTCACAATAATTTTCAGTTAAACGTGCTCAGTTTTACTTATATGTATGTGTGGGAGGGTGGAATTAGTGCTGAACTTGAAGCAGTGAATCTTCCCTTCAGTGTAAATCTATTTGTGAAACCATTTCAGGATGAGTTACAAGAAGCAAGTTCTGCTTCTGCAGCAAGAGAAGAAGCAGCTGAGTACTCAGATGACTTTGAAAGTGACGAAGATGGCATGTTAAACGGTAAGACAGAATTAAATATTTTTCCTCATGGTCTTCCCTTTCTTAGCTCATTACTAGACCATGGAGAATCTTTGTGAGTCAATATTATTTAATGTTCCAAGATTTCATATTTTAAGAATTTCTAAATCACTTAGTCCTCCTCTTCCAAGTTAGGAGCAGAATTCCCAGTGAAATCAGTGGTGGTGCCAGCCTGCTGGACCAGGTGCAGTCTGTGCTGTTCCCTACAGTTGTGATGGCCAATTTTACTCCTTAGCTCTATTGTTTACTTTACACCTGGATGAGACAGTAGCGCACAGTACTGTGAATGAAAGTGGACATGGTCAGAGAAAAAGCCATTTGTTGTCTTGCTGTTTTCTTGCTGTTTTCCCAGTCGGGACAATCGGCAAATAAGGGCTGCAGGACACACTGCAGAACACCCTTGCCTGGCACTGTACACAAACCAGAAACAGGTTTGATCTGGCTGTTTTTCTTGTGCCAGGATGCATTTGATATTTGATAATGATTACGATTAGTCTAATGGATTTTCTTCCTCCTGGTATGGTGCTGCATGTTAAGTATTATAATGGTGGGTTTTTTTAAAGGACTTCCTCTGTGTCCTGTTTTTCTTTTACATCTGAAACATCTTTTAGAAGTTCTCAGGATGTTTTGATTTCCCTTTGCTGACAAGATTTAGAAAAACAATCAAAACATTTACAAAAAATCTTGTCCTACGTTAAATACGTTACTCAACTATCAGGACATTCTTTTGTCATCTTTCACAAGCTTTTGAACGCTGAAATAAAGTCAGTTAGAGGTAACAGACTGCAGGAAGATAAAAAATATTTTTGTTTAACATGTGGACCTTAGCATTGAAGCAGATACCTGCTTTGAGTATCTTTGTGTGGAGTTCAGATGGGAGAGAAGTAAAGAGAATAGAAGGGGAGGATGGATTCTGGTAACCAAACATGCCTAACTTTGTTGTTGTTGACTTGCTTCCACTTCTTATGGCATTGGAGACATTTTTTTTAGAAGGTATTTAAACTGTATGACAGGTAAGAATTAAGAATTTGAAGTATTTTCTTCAGTTGGGGGCCATGGAAACAGATGACGGGAAAGGAAGTAGAATAAGGATCTAGTTTGGCAGAAATGAAGAGAATAGAAGGGGAAGATGGATTCTGGTAACCAAACATGCCTAGCTTTGTTGACTTGCTTCCACTTCTTATGGAATTGGAGACTTTTTTTTTTTTTTTTTTGGAAGGTATTTAAATTGCATGACAGTTAAGAATTAACCAGTGAATATTTGAAGTATTTTCTTCAGTTGGGGTCCATGGAAACAGATGACAGGAAAGGAAGTAGAATAAGGATCTAGTTTGGTGGCTTTGCAGAGATCAGAAGTGCAGAAAGATAAATGCTCAGAGATGTAAGTCAGGAGAGTGTTATGTGAAAGATATTGTTAAATTATAGAAGGCTTAGTTTCTGTGTCCCATTTTTTTCCACTTGTCTCAAATGGAAGTTGATAATGTGCTATTTTCAGGTGTTGGGGAAGAACTTAATGGAAGTAATTCAGGTGCTGAAAGCACTAAGAAATCGGTTGCTGTTGAGAGTCCTCTCTCAGATGATGATGATGCTTCACAAAAAGCAGCAGATTTGGAAAACGAAGCTGCTGATGACTTGACTCTATCCTTTCATGAAAAGAAGCTTCAGCAGGTAATGCTTTTAGAAAGTGGAAACATACAGGATGACAGAAAAGATGAAGAATGTTTGAAAAGTCAAAATGAGGGTAATGACAGAGAAAATAACGAAGAGCGTTCAGCTGCTGAAGAAGATAATAGTGAAAGTGACCGCTGTAGTGACTTGCCTATTTGTGAACTGCAGAAAAAAAGAAATAAAGAGGAAAGCACACCTATACCAAGGCCACGGGTGCACAAAGCAAGAAATGCTTCAGTATCAGGTGAAAAGAAAGCATTTGAATTGTTTGTTAAGCATTTGTTAATTGTTTGTTAATTGAATTTGAAAAGTTGTTACTTTCATTGCTTAGCCATATTACAGTACTTTAAAGTGTTGCAGTTTGGGTTATGCTCTGTGTTAAGTATCAGCTGCTTTGGTTTGCAGGGAATTTATTCAATGTTCTTCTAAAAATACCTGTTTTGATAACCTCCAGCTGCCAGGGGATAAACGGAACCAGTGTGGGCTGAGTAGCAGGAGGTGCTATTTACCTTTTCCTTTCAGGAGATGAAAGCCAGCTGTTTGGGTACTTCAAGTCCAGCTCTCTATCCATGGAAGACAGTGCATGGAAGGGGGTCAGGGGCTACAGAGTTGCATCTTCTGTGTGTGCATAGCACAGAGCGACATATTCACGCAGTGTCCACAGCATCCATGCACCCTTTAATAGAAAGGTCTTTAAACAGGCATCCCTACTCTATCACCAGTGAAGTTGGACCACAGTGTTCACAGCTATAACGTTGAAGTTGTGATGCTGAGACTTCACCATGCTGTAGCGTAAGAGATTGTCACAAAATGAGCTGTAACCAAAACATTTGTGAATGGTAGAGTGCTCATCACTACTGAGTTAAGCCTTCAAACGATCTTTTACTTTGAAGATACTGATACACTTTGGATGTAGTCAAATATGTTAACAAAAAACTTTAATGTTTCATTATAAGAATAGTTACTTCATTTTTACTATGGAAAGTGGAACTTGGACCATCCCTACTCTGCCACCAGTGAAGTTGGACCAAAGTGTTTGCAACTATAACGTTGAAGTTGTGATGCTGAGACTTCACCATGCTGTAGCGTAATAAATTGTCACAAAATGAGCTGTAACCAAAACATTTGTGAATGGTAGAGTGCTTATCACTACTGAGTTAAGCCTTCAAACGATCTTTTACTTTGAAGATACTGATACACTTTGGATGTAGTCAAACATGTTAACAAAAAGCTGTAATGTTTCATTATAAGAATAGCTAGTTCATTTTTACTATGGAAAGTGGAACTTGGAATTCTGCTAATTGACTATATGTGCTTTTACAAATGTAAAGTGTTCATATTTTTTATCTACTTCCTGATAGGAGAAGAATTTGTCCTGTTTGATGTGGAGAGAAATTTCTAGCTGGTCGTTACCTGTGATGGAAAATAACAACTTTGAAATTTGTAGAGCATGATTAGGGATACAGCTCCTTTTTTTCTTCCACATGATGGCACCAAAGTGCTAAACATTTGGATGTGCAACAGGGCACTGCAGATGCCTCTTTCCTGGCCAGTATGCCAGGTTTCTTCATGTGCATCTAAGTAGTGCAGTGATACTGGCATATTGTCTTCAGTGATCAACCAATGTAAACTTTCTTATACTAGATTAATTGATCCCTGTCCAACAGAGGAGGTGACTGTGCAGAGACTAATCAGCTTTTTCTGCTCCTTTGATTTTTCTTGTGTTTTACTGCATGGAAAAACTCTCAGTGCACTTGTAGGAATATTGTTGTGACCTCTAAGCTCTCTAAACTTCACACTAATTATATAATTAGACGTTATGCAGCTGAGAAGGCTGGATGGGCATGGTGAGTCTCCCATTTCCTGCGATAGATGTGCATGAACTAGGACTTAATAAGAAATGCTTCCATGGCAGTGTGCAGAGTTAGATACACATTTCTATGGGGATCGGCATATGTAAAGAAAAAGGCAGGTACAATGCCATCGTATGGCTTGGTCTTGTTGATGGCAGGGCAGGGGGAAGCAAACATGAAGAAGATTGGATTACTAAAGAGGAGGAAGGTGGGCATGTTAACAAAAAGCTGTAATGTTTCATTATAAGAATAGCTAGTTCATTTTTACTATGGAAAGTGGAACTTGGAATTCTGCTAATTGACTATATGTGCTTTTACAAATGTAAAGTGTTCATATTTTTTATCTACTTCCTGATAGGAGAAGAATTTGTCCTGTTTGATGTGGAGAGAAATTTCTAGCTGGTCGTTACCTGTGATGGAAAATAACAACTTTGAAATTTGTAGAGCATGATTAGGGATACAGCTCCTTTTTTTCTTCCACATGATGGCACCAAAGTGCTAAACATTTGGATGTGCAACAGGGCACTGCAGATGCCTCTTTCCTGGCCAGTATGCCAGGTTTCTTCATGTGCATCTAAGTAGTGCAGTGATACTGGCATATTGTCTTCAGTGATCAACCAATGTAAACTTTCTTATACTAGATTAATTGATCCCTGTCCAACAGAGGAGGTGACTGTGCAGAGACTAATCAGCTTTTTCTGCTCCTTTGATTTTTCTTGTGTTTTACTGCATGGAAAAACTCTCAGTGCACTTGTAGGAATATTGTTGTGACCTCTAAGCTCTCTAAACTTCACACTAATTATATAATTAGACGTTATGCAGCTGAGAAGGCTGGATGGGCATGGTGAGTCTCCCATTTCCTGCGATAGATGTGCATGAACTAGGACTTAATAAGAAATGCTTCCATGGCAGTGTGCAGAGTTAGATACACATTTCTATGGGGATCGGCATATGTAAAGAAAAAGGCAGGTACAATGCCATCGTATGGCTTGGTCTTGTTGATGGCAGGGCAGGGGGAAGCAAACTTTACGCTGCTGAGAATGCTGGATGGGCATGGTGACTCTCCCAGTTCCTGCGATACATGTGCACGAACTAGGACTTAATAAGAAACGCTTCCAAGGCAATGTGCAGAGTTAGATACACATTTCTATGTGCATTGGCATATGTAAAGAAAAAGGCAGGTACGATGCCATCGTATGGCTTGGTCTTGTTGATGGCAGGGCAGGGGGAAGCAAACATGAAGAAGATTGGATTACTAAAGAGGAGGAAGGTGGGGAGCCAGAGGATAGGAATCTGTAAGAAACTGTTGCATGGTGGTTCTGCTGCCCAGTGACTGCCTTAGGGAGGGAAGAGACATCACTAAAGAAGCTAGAAATATGCTGAAAGCCCTCCTCTTCTTCCGCATTTCTCATGATGTCTTTTCCTACCAAAGCTGTTCTGTTCTGCACCATGTGGAGAGAAGCAGTCTTCCCTCTGTATCTTCTCTAGTAAGTAAAGGGACAAGCAGAATAGCAAAAAGTTTTTGTTACAGTTGTGCTGTATTAGATATGTTCTTCTATATTTATGAAAACTCTGTCCCTCTAATTGTGGACAAACTCTTGAGTGTCGTTTCAATGTATACACAGATAATAAATTGTCTATCAAGAGATTATATTAGAAGCTTTAAACCTTTCATTCAGCTTTTTAAAATAGTGGCTGTAACTCTTTATATAGCTGTCTCTCTATGGCCTCACTCTATTAAGAAAGTTCTGCTATGCACAGAATCACAGAATGGTAGGGGTTGCAAGGGACCGTCAGAGATCACCTAGTCCAGCCCCCCTGTCAAAGCAGGATTGCCTAGAGCAGGTTGGACAGGAACGCATCCAAGTGGGTTTTGAGTATCTCCAGAGGAGACTCCACAACCTCTCTGGACGGCCTGTTCTAGTGCTGTTACCCTCAAAGTGAAGAAGTTTTTCCTTGTGTCGAGATGGAAGTTCCTGTGTTCCAGCTTGTGTCTGTTGCCCCTCATCCCATCGCCAGACACCACTCAAAAGACTCTGGCTCCATCTTCTTGACACTCATAGTTTAGATATTTATAAGCATTGATGAGATCCCCTCTCGGTCTTCTCCAGGCTAAACAGACCCAGGTCTGTCAGCCTTTCCTCATAAGAGAGGTGCTCCAATCTCCTGATCAGCTTTGTAGTCCTCCACTGGACTCTTTCCCTCTCTTTCTTGAACTGGGGAGCCCAGAACTGGACACAGTACTACAGATGCGGCCTCACCAGGGCCACACTCTTCTTGATGCACCCAAGGATGCCATTGGCTTTCTTGGCCACAAGGGCGTATTGCTGGCTCATGGTGAACTTATTGTCCACCAGGACTCCAAGGTCTCTCTCTACAGAGCTGCTTTCCAGCAGGTCAGCCCCCAACCTGTTTTTTTAATGAGCTATTATTTAAATAGCTCATTTAACTGAAAATAGTTGGCTGAATCTAGCTTGACAAAATAGTGCTCCAGACTGAAATGTCTTTAAATAGACATAACTGAAACGATAATATTTATTTTTAACTGCAAGTATCAGCATTTTTTCATTAGATGGCTGTTATAAACCATTACCTCAACCAGGAAGTATTTTGAGAAAAAGTGGTCCTTTAGAAGACAATAAGCTTAATACGTCAGAAGGAAAAATAACTTTTAGAAATGGATGGTCTTCATTTCCAGCACCATCATCCCAAACTAATCTGAATGCCCAAGCCATGCCCAAGAAAAAATTGCTTGCTGAAAGCCCTGATCCTGAAGTAAGAGAGTATATGTGTTGATTTTTATTTTTTTTTACTATCTACTTTGGAAACTAACTGACAAAATTTTCTGGGAGAAAAATAGAAGCAGGAAAAATAGTCTTTGCCCGTAGCATTCTTATGATGAGAGACAGATAAGAGAACATTATTCTTTTTCTTTTAACTAGAAGCAGGACTTTTTGATGGTTTGAAGCTTTATGTGCTGATTGGTTGATTTGTTTTATTTTTCCAAATATAAAACACAAATTATACTTCTCCTAGAGAGTTCTGAACAAGCACTCTACTAAAGTATTATAAAGTCAAGTTAAATTATTCTGATTTGTTATTATTTGCTCACTTAATTACAGAATTACAGAATTGTAGGAGTTAGAAGGGACCTTTGGAGATCATCTAGTCCAACACCCCTGCTAAAGCAGGATTGCCTAGAGCAGGCTGGACAGAAATGCCTCCAGGTGGGTCTCCAGAGAAGGAGACTCCACAACCTCTCTGGGCAGCCTGTTCCAGTGCTCTGCCACCCTCAAAGTGGAGAAGTTGTTCCTTCATGCTGATATGGAATTTCCTGTGTTCCAGATTGCCTCTGGACACCACTGAAAAGAGTCTGGCCCCATCTTCTTGGCAGTTGTACTTCAGATCTTGATAGGCATTGATGAGATCCCCTCTCAGTCTTCTCCAGGTTAAACAGATCCGGGTCTCTCAGCCTTTCCTCATACGAGAGATCCACAGTCCCCTGATCATCTTTGTAGCTCTGATTGTCACTGTCTGGTCTAAGGGTCCATGGCAAGAAAGTACTTTACCACCATTTTCCGTTAATTTTACTTCCCACAATGAAAGACATGGAGATTCTGATTTACTGATGTATGGAGAAGCACCACCTGCAAAAGGTGGAACTTAGCTACATGGAACAGATAACTGTTATCATTTATACCCTAGTAATACCTGATGGTCCAATACAAGTCTTCTTAAAAATCAGTGGCATTCTTAATTCCCCTTTTACTCTCTTTTAGTTCTTTCTCATGCCCTTGTGTCTCCTCTTGTTCTGGTTTTGAGAATCACCCAGCCTCATTCTTACACTTGTGTCCATGTACAGTATCATCCCAGGAACGGAGAGGAAGGGATTAAAGTTTGAGAATTAAGTTTTTGTACACTGACTTGTGTCAAGTATATGCATCATTGTCTAAGCATCTTTGAGAATTAAAACAAGTAATTTTAATTCCATTTCCTCTTATGCTGTCAACATAATTAGGGTGAATCTTTGACTTTTTCCTGTGCCTTTTCCACGAAGTTTAATACAAACTAAGGACCGCTTTTCTGTATTTTTTTTTTTGGATTTGTGAATCCTTAACAGTTCTTAGGGAATGTGCAGGCCCTTGAGGAAATATCAAATCTGTGAGCTTCTCAGCAATATCCATTGCACTGATCTCTCTTAGTCCCCTTTTTCCGACTGGCTACAAAAAAATCCATGGACCCCAGGTTGAAAAGCACTGGAATAGGCTTAGACACCTGTTTTAATTTCCTAAGGGAATCATGCTGGCAGGTAATTAGCTGTGTGCAGGACTGTAATGGGTAGGTAACAGACTCTCAGAAGCAGCAAGAAAAATGCTGTCTGTATGGTCTGTGTAATGGCTATATGCTGCAGCCTGACGGAATAAAAGATAGGACTTGGCTTGAAGAATTTAGTGCAGAAAGGTGAACAAAAGTTGAAAACTCAGGCAACGTGCTGAGTAGTAAATAAAAAATATGCTTAGATCTGTGTTTAATTTCAGTTCTTTTTTAGGTTTTGCTGATACCTTGGATTAGAAAATCTGTTCAGTATAGCTTGGTGCTTTTAAGCGTCAGTAACGGAACAATGTCTAAGGAGAGTTTGTATGGGGAAGATACGAGGCTAGGAGCAAGTCAAGAAAGGAACTACAATAATAATACTCACAGGTTTTATGTGGCATTTTTAGGTTAGCCATTAGAAGTTTAGTATTTTGTATACATTTTGCAAACGGAGCCAAACTGACTTGCACATGAAGTTCTGTGAAGTTCATGCTACAAAGCACATGTAGTCAGTAGTTCGTCTGCTGTCTCCAGTGTCCGGTGCGCTAAGTACTGCAGCTTAATTAGAGTTGTAGAGTTTCTGATGCCTGCTGTTTATATTATATACAGTTGTACTATTTAGTAAGTGTAAAGTAAAATATGAAAGCTCATATATCAACAGAGGGTAGAAAATGGTTCATATAAATTCAGAATTCTCCTTGTCACCTTGAACTTACCAACATCACTGTAAATCTAGGTTAAATTACTTAGCTTGCCAGCACTGATATTCCTTTCTGCAGATAACCTGGAGTTAATCTCTCATCCACAACTTACATTTCTTTTAAGAATTCCATCAAAAAATTGTGGTAGACTGCAGTTTGGAATTTACCATGGCCTTCTTCGGTTTGTGTCTGAATTGTTTTACAAATTTAGATCTCTGCATTAGCAGCAGTTCAGATCCAAGAAAAATGTTTTTTAAGTCTTATTAATAAAATGTTTCATGAAGGACAATTTCACAATTTAGGCATGCATTTAAATTGAGGTGATGTTTTATTTAAATCCCCACCGCAGAATCTTTCCATTATTTCCTTCTATGCCCCACATCCCTGAAAAACACCACACAATAAAAGTAGTTTTTCTTACCCAAAATGTCATACAGACTTCATTAGTAGTTTGCTAAATGTCAGAACACCTCGTGCTGTGATTGCAGTGGCTCCTGCTTTTCGTTTCTGCACTGGAACTGTGTTTGGTTGGGGAGGCAGACAGGAGGTTTTGCCTTCATCATACTCTCACATTCTATAACATTTGTTAAAACTCCAGTCTTACATTTAAATGCAATAAAAATGAATACTCTGCTTATTAGTCCATCTAATTCTTAGAAGGAAGTATACAGAAAATACATTGAGAAACAATGACGTTCTTGTTCATATGTCCTCTCAATCCTTTTTCTCCTGTTAGATCAAGATCAGAAGATCAGCACAAGTGACTTGAAACTGGAGGACAACAGTAGAAAATCCCCTTCTGTGACAGAAGCAGTGATGACTACAGTAGATGAGAAATCAAGGAAATTAGAGAAGTCAGCAGATGACAGTTCAGATGAAATAGTGAAAATAGCAGAAGGGCAAATAACCGATACAATACAGCAGGTATCAGTGAATGATCAATCTGAGCACGGGGAAGCAAAGAACACTTCAAAGGACTCAGTCAAGGTATTATTCATATGCATTTTTACCATTGTATAGAACAATATCCTAGGAGCACAGTGAAAGGTTTTGTAAAGCTACTGTTGGTACCTTAAATGGGTAGAACTCATTTTGTAAAGCTGAAAATTTCTCTCTGGCTTCTAGAGCTGAGGCTCTTACAAATTCTGTGCAGGTGTATGGAAGATGTAGGGAATACTTTTTACACAAATCATTTAAACCAAATAAAGGTACTGAAATGTGAATTTTCCAATCTTAATGAAATACCCTTATCCAAGTGAAAATGTCAAATCTCTATTGTGAGGTTAGCTGAATTGGAATGAGCAGTGGATGTTGGCAGAGGATGTGGTCCATGGCGTGACTTGAATAACGGATAAGATGTAAAGCACTTTATGCTTTATAATAAGAAAGAAAATATGTAGATTTATGTAACTGTTAAAGCTAAATATTAAAAAAAAAATTTAAAGAGTGTTGATATAATGTCAGGGAAGCCCACTGCCCCGTTGAGTCCTTTTTATTCCTTTGTATTTCTGAACTATAGACTATATTTTTACATAATACAAAGAAACATTTCTAGGTGCCATTCCAAAAAGATACAGGCATTCTGAAAGGTTGGTTGGTTTGTTGGGTTTTTTCACTTTCATACCCTGTACCCTCTCTATATTAGAGTGGTTTTCTTGCACATTTTTCTAGCATCATAGAATATCTCGTTAGAAGAGACATGTAAGAATCATTGAGTCCAACTCCCAAGACCATTGTTAGCTTGTAGAATCTGTTTGATCCTGGTCTAGTTGTGCAGCTTGAGAGACTCTAACTTTACTTTCCCTCTGTGTTTCGTAGAAACTAAGTGAAACGAAGGAGAGATTTCTACAAAACCCAAAATCTTCTTTATCTGACAGGTAAGAGAAAGATGCTATATATCACAGCCTTACACAGCAGAGTGTAAGGTGCATGTAAATGCTCTGACAAAACTGCTTCGCTCTATTTCCTGTCAACATTCTCTTCATTGCTGACAACCTCTGACCATCTGTAGAGAACAGTTTAGTAGATGTGGCATGTTGTTGTAACCCTTGCTCAGGGTTATATCAGATCAGACTCCAAGTCTCTTGCCAGTGTCTGAGTGTGTGCTGCTGGACCCACCAATGAATCCAGTCCATGATGTCTTTACAGGTTTTGAGCTGTTTTATAGATGAAACTGTAAGGAATTTGTCAACTTTCTTGGGCTGAACATATTGAGTAGTGACTTGTTTTGGCACTAGTAAAGCCCTCAGAAGAAAACGGGCTTCTTCCTCCTTTCCCTTTTCTTCCATCCTCAGCCAAGTGCATGTTCAAACAGCATCACAGTAACTTCTGGTATACACTGAAATAAAAGGAATGCTATTTGGTATCAGCTACGATAAATGGAAAGATCATTAATATGTTTGTGTCTTGGTATCTTTATAGGTCTCTGTCTCCTGCATCCTTAAAGAAAAAGTCGAAAGCTGTTCCATCAGCTACGCGTATTTCATCTCAATATCTGGGGACATTAAAGGTGTTGGAGGATAAACGCGTGCAGAGCAACAGTACAGAATTTGACAAAGCGGATAGTTTACGAGCAGCTGTTTTTCAGGTAGATCTTAAAAATAAACAAGTAAAATCCAAAGAAAACAACCAACAAACAAAACTATGCACATAGAAGTGCTGTTGTAAGAGTTAACACCTCCTATTTTCTTGAAGTCAGTATTTCTGACTATATTTCTCGCATATGCTTATGGGTGTAATAATCTTTTTATTTTGTTGGCTGTGCCTTTTCATCAAATTATAAACTAAAAACCTAGATGGCAGGGACATACAATGGTTCATAATTTATTGTCTCAGACTATTTTCAGACATGTATAATAACATAAGTATGTAGTTTAAAGTTTCTTTTCCTGGTATGTTCTATTCAGTTGCCATTTAGGAAAAGTGAAAACAAGTCCAGTGTTCTCTCCAGAAGCATAATCTATATGGATTCTGTGTAGAATTTCGTAACAATTAGTTTGTGGGTTTCAACAGATTTTTGTGACTAATCTGTGAGAAAAACTGTAATTAACAGATGCTGTTCATATTGGTATGTAATTTTAATACTTCTTATGGTTCTAATACAAAATTGAGAACCTCAAATCCATATTTATATTGTCTCCACAATTTTTAAAGGTAGAAGAGGCTTCAGTTAGGACACTTGTATTTCCAAGCAGCATACCAAATATATAATTAAACCTTGAAAATTTAAGCCCGATTCTGCAAATGGCTAATAATACTTTATGGATGCCTGAAGTCTCACTCTTCCCAGTTGGATTTTATTCTCTTTAGTTTTAGGTATTTGCAAGAGAGACCATAAATGTAAATAGTATTCCTATATACCAAGTGATTAAAATCTTTATGCCATTCTTCCTTTTCATTTTTTTAAATGCTTACTTTTTGGTGGTTTTTATTTTAAGATTCTGTTTTAAAGATCTTTAAACTTTTTGGTATTTTGTAGCTATCATTTTAGAACCTTAGACTTTTTTGATCATAATGTTTGTGTGATCACCGTGTAGTCTTCCACATGGGGTAGTTATTTAAGTAGCACATGGAAGAAATAAGAGTAATTTTGCTTGTCATTATATTGGTGCTACTCTAATAATATTTTGTTGTTTTAACAGAACTTTTTTAATTATACCTTAAAAAGACTGTAAAAGCATAAAAGTCATCTCGTGATTCTTGCAGAATTGGTTGGAAAAGAAAAGGGCCCTTCTACTGGAATTAAAAAGAAATGAAAAGATTAAAGCTGAAAATCTAAGGAATGATGCTGAAAAGGTTTGTTTACATTCTTGTTTAAAAAGAAGTTGACAAACTACAGTTCTTTGAAGTACACTTACCTGTGCTTTCTGCCTAATTACATCACTCTGCTATTCCAAAAACAGTAAATGGCACATCCCCTTGTTATGGTTGCTGTAAAGGTTGTGTGGCTGATGCTTCCCTACACATTTACGTAAGGTATGTTAAAAGTATGCTGCTTAGAGAAATTTTCAGGTTTGTTTAAGAAGACCTTGGGATGCCTGACCCTTCAGGTATTAAGGTTTAATTTGTCATCTGTTAGAAAATGAGATTGCTCCCTATCTCAAGAGATGCTTATCTACAGAGAACTGTGTTTTGAATACTACGTACACAATTCTTAGATTTGTCTTTTAAATATTTAAAATGTTTCACTTCTAAGCATTTAACATGTATTTCATGTAATTCTACACATGTTTTGCAGGAGTAGTTTGTCTCATTTGATTAAGTTAAATTAAAAATGAGCATAGAAAAAAAACATGCCGTATAGTTCAAATTCAATTCTGAGTATGACTTGGAATGTTGTCTGGAAATCAATTTCTGTTTCTTTATTGCTCCATCTAATCCTACATTTGACAGAGTTTAAAGCTTACTATTTCAATTATGCTTTTATATTTAAGTGTTTTAACTGTTATTTTCAATGTAGAAAGAAGCTGTTAAAAGAGAGGAAGCAATTGCATCTTTTGAAGCCTGGAAAAAAAAGAAAGGAAGAGAAGCAAAGAAATTAAGTGAAATAAAGAAGGTTGAGGAACTTAAGAAAAAGAAAGCAGCAGAAGAGACTGTCCAGAGAACAGAAGCAGCACAGAAGGTCAAGTGAAATATGTAAATATGTGTTTCCAATATGGTTCAGGAGATTAATCCAGCAAAGGATAGAGATGAGCTTGATTCTAAAATATAAACATGGTTAATTTTTGAAGAAAGCTCATATTAGATTCTCTTCTGTTCCAAGTATGTAATGTTTACATTTGTGCACAAACAGGTATTTTTCCATATTTGGATTCTATTAACTGAACATAAAATAAACTCCATATAAATACATTGGCAATGAACTGTTACTTACTGGGAGAAAGAATTTATTCTTTTGAGGTATAGTGATATCCACTTTTGAGCAGTGATACAAACAAATATTCCAAAATTGGAATGTGTAGAAGTTACCAAAAATAATAATACAGAATAAACAAGTGGAGTATTGACAAAAAGGGGAGGGGTAAGATTTCTAATGAATTTGTGGTCCTTTTTAGGCATTTGAAAAATGGAAAGAAAGAAAAGCAGAATATTTAAGAGAGCAAAACAGAAAGGAAAAACAGTCTGAAAGAATCAGGAAGAAGAAGGAGGAGGAACGGGTTGCAGAGAAGAAGAGAGATAGCATGTCAGCAGTTGAAAAATGGTACTAGTCCACTGGGTTTTGGAATATCATAGTTTCCCAAATCTTTGCTTAGAAATGCAGTAGATCTGCTGGGAGTGCTTGATGTGCTTTTCGCTGGGAGACAGTGGCATGTTTGGGATCAGGCTCTATGGGCCCAATGGACACCAAGTATGATAATGAGAACAATCTCTACAACTTCTTTCAGTTTAGTAACTTAAGTGCTTCTCTCCCCAAAATGCTTTTATTTAAGCCTGGGCAGAAATACTGCAACTGAGAATTAAGATTGACTAAGTAGTATAATGTCTTATGTGATTAGTCTCATGCTTCATTACTAAGCCATAGAAAGGAAGGTAAATGTTCATCTAAAAGTTGTGTGGAATACAGTGTGTGAATGTAGATATATTCAGAAGCAAGTGAGATATGTCTGCTGGAGAAATACTTTGTTAGTTTTACAACCCAAGAGTTTTCACAGACCATGTGCAACTTAAAGTTACCCAGAGAAGTTTTGAATTTAATTTTTTATCTAATACCAAAAAAGGGAGAAAGTAGTACAGAAAAGGTGAGACCATAATACACAGAAGGTTAGTTTATACCTATATGTGGTGATATAGTGTATAAAGATGGACTTTGAAGATTTTGAATATATATTCTCAATTTTTCATTAAATGAGTAAAATATCTCTTGACTCTTAATTTAGTTCATAAATCACAGATGCAGCATTTAGTCTGTTACATGATAATCTCTTGTTCTTCCCTCTAACTATATAGGAATGAAAAAAAGGAAAAATATATGAAACAGAAGAAAGTAGAAAAAATTCTTGAGAGAAGAAAGCAAGAAATACAACAGGCAAAAAAGGAAGAGAAAGATAAAAAGGCTATGGAAGAATATGAAAGATGGCTGGTATTTTTTTTTTTGCACTTTGTCAAAGCCAAAAAGGTTAATGTAGTCATGAGTGTCATCACTTTTGCATTGTAATACTCATGGTTTGTCATGTTGTTATGAGAGATGCCAGACGATGGCAGCATGACATAGCCAGTCCCCCAGAATTCTTGAGCAAGAAGATAAAATATGGTGTGCTTGATATTTAACGTACGTGGAAAATATATTCTCCCTACCTACATGTCTTAGACTTTTGAATTATTTTGACATTCTATGTCATGAGCAACCATCTTTGAAGGGCCAGCTCACCACAGCTCAAAACCTGCAAACCCAGGTAGCATCACCAGCTGCAAGGAGTGTGTGTGTATATATTCAAGGAATTCAAGGAAGCATTTAAAGTGAAGACTTGAATAACTTAAAATTGATAAAAGCACTTGTCATGAGGTTTGAGATTACTTCCATTTACTAACAGGTGTAGAAGTCTGATGCTCCGAAATATATTTTTCCTACAACACTCTACTTTAGTCACAGTTGTTAAGCAGTAAAATGGTCTAGTAATCTAGTATTCTCGTCTCGACAGTAAGGCAGTGGTTTTTTCCTTGCTACAGAAAGACAAACTAGAAGAGAGATGAGTAATATTCTTAACATATATTGTTTTCTTAAAGGTGTGTGACTTACTAGTTAAAGAAAAACCTGCATTTTTCATCCTCACTCTGTGACCCGTCATTTGTCGTACTGACTTTCAAAGTTTTCTTAATTTGAGAGCGTTTCTTCTGTTTTCTCTCTTCCTTGTGATTTCTGGCACACGTTGTATACATACGGTCTTTGTTGCCTTATATAAGAATGGGGTCTTGCAACTCAGCTGGCTTAAGGTCCTCACAGGGATCCATTTGTACTGTCAGTATCTCCAAAAAATCTTTTCCAGAGTCTTGAGTGAACTTTCTGTTTTTCTGGAGAGGAGAATAGCAGGGAACAATGAGAAGTGAGGCAGGCTGATGTACAGGCGTGGGACAGATTGTAAAAGGACAATCAACCTTGACTTGGTTAACTCAGAAATATGCAGTGATGTAAACCAGCAAGAGGCTGCATGTTTTCCCCTTTTTTTTTCCAAACCTTTTTAAACTTCGGTATAAGTCTTTTAAGATCTTATTTAACCTGGTGTCCTATTTGAATACCTCTGATTTCTCTAATCGTTGGTAAGAAGTGTTTTCTCTGGTCCCCTTTGTTAAGGGATTTCCAGCTCGATTTTGTCAAATGGTTAATGCCCATTCTCAGGTTATTTCTTGCTTAGTCAGTATTCCTGGTTCCCAGGCAAGGAAGTGCTGTGCTTTGAGTAGTAGCTAATGCTCTGTCCCAGTATGGTCGCTTACTATCTTCAATTAGCATAGTTGTACCAAAGCATGAATGTTACCTCTCATTGTACATTTGACTTCCTTGCTGTTTTGGACTCTACGAAGGTAAAAAAATTATTCCTTTGGGGGGGAATGAAATCTGACACATAGCACAGGCTCCCCTGTTCAAATTGTGTATAAATTCCTCAGGTTATCAATTCACTTAGTGGGATTGTTAACATAAATTTAATAGTTGGAAGAATGACCAGATCTGGATGGATGTACATGTGCCTACAGGAGAGGAGCGGTTCAAAAAATGAGCAGTTGTTGGAGGATGTGATAGCTACTGAACTGGTTGGCAGAGGTATCTCTAAACTTACCTCATTTTCAGTGTCTATGTGCAAGTGTTGACTGATGTGTCTCATGCCCAGTCTTCACGTTTTTTCTTTCTGAAATTGTGCTGTTTTTTGCAGCTAACACACACTTTTATTTGAGAAAGCATATCGGGCAAAGGCTCTGGCATCCTGTTTGGCCAGATATTATCTCACTTTGTATAGCCATGGAGAAAATACACACCTTCAGTGAACTGCACAAGAGAAACGCCTGTAAAGTTCTCAATGTATTATCAAGGGAACAAAGGTAGATAAACAGGCATCAGATCTGAGAGGGCAGAATTGTGGAAGTCTTTTAAGTGTATTCTTTCAAATAAGAGGATTTTTGTTTGAAGAGAAATAAAATAGGAGTAATATAGTAGGAGCCATTCTAATATGTTTTCATCAACATTCGACAGAAATAAATGTGTAAATTCATCCTCAGCTTTTCTGAACCAGGTGTTGACCATGATGCATGGGTAAAAGAGACATAAAAATCTGCTTGTAGTTCTTCTAAAATATAAGAAGCCTTCTTTTCTGCTAATGGAAATTCTGTTACATATACTTTTAGAGGTCATTGTGTGAATGTTTGATAACGTAAGTGCATAGAGAAGATTACTTATTAAGCATGAAAATAAATGCCCTGAAAAAGGCTATTAACACTTGTAAAATACTAACATAAAAAGGATAATCTTGAGCTGAGATACTTTAGTATTCCTGAGGAAATTTAAGCTTCTGATTTTTTTTGTTTGTTTCATAGTATTTGCCTCTTGCTACTTATCAAGTACTCTTCAAACCAATCTAGATGTTACGTTTGATAAGTGATCGTTTTTTACTTAATGCAGGCTACCAGTGTCTGACTCTTGTCATTGATATGCACCTATCCTTAGGAGTAGAACGTGGAGAAGAATCATGTAGGAAGTTTATAATGACAGATCAGTTGAGTTTCCATTATTTTCAAGATAGTAATCCTCATACCTGTTTTCTGTAGAGAAAAGTGAGTATTCTACATGTGTTATGTTCTCCATTTTACCATATTAATCTAGTATGCGTTGATGAGAAATAAGGCTGCTTTCAAATAATTTTCAAAGATCAACATAGAAAGGTTAAATGCCTTAGAACAAGTTTGAAATTTTACCCTGAGGTTGAGCATGCTCAACGCCTATTTTTGGCGTAATAAAGCTGTTTAAAAACATCAGGAAATGATGTACTGGATGAGCCTCACGGATTTGTTGCTTTTCTGGGTTAGAAACAGCTGATGTGGGTTATTCATTTCATGTAGTTTAATAAGATCTACCTGAAAATACTTCCTATATTGGAATTTTAATCTCCTGGCATTGCAATATGTTAGAAATAAGGCTGTTATTGTTATTCCTCTTAAATGTTTTAAGGCTTCTGTACTATCTAAAAATCAATTATTATGTAGCAGTCATACTACTAAAGAGTGTGATCTTCCCAGAATTTTGTAAGTGAAATTCATCTTACTAGGCTATTGAGTAGGAAACTTCCACAGAGAAATCAAGCTATACAATCAAGTTGATCTAGTATATGACAAACTACAGTTATTGTTTTCATCTTTCACGTATTTCTATTCCTCTTTTAGTGCAAATAACATCTAGTTTGTTATTTTGGGGAAGATTTATATCAGTTATGTCTTGTGAGAATATGAACTGTGGTTAGGACTAGAACATAAAAAGCTTTGTGTGTGTTGAAGGCAGGGAAGAAGCTGGTAAGTCTTCATTTCAAATTTATTTTTTAAAAACCAGTTAAATTAACTCAAGACTCTTCCCTTGGCACTGGGATTCATTCATGAAAGTTGGATCTTCAAATCTCAACATTCACCACTGAGACATGTTAAAAAAAACCCAAAGCTACTTTCATTCTCTTCCTGGGTGGGTGTATAATTTATCTTTGGTTTGGGTTTTGCTTTGGTTCGGTTTGTTGTGGGTTTTTTTGGTGCTTCAAAATGCTGACTGATAGGCTGAAAAAGAGGCAAGGACTGAGTTTGGATTTAGCACAATTGATGATTCGAGGCGTGCATATCCACATTGCATCTTTACTGCCAATGATGTCTATGCCAGTTGTTGATCCTAGGAACAAAGGCACTGTTCATGTGCCAGAAAGCCAGCTGCTTGAGGACCTCTTACCACCTGTCAAGTGGGGCACTGTAAGTTATGCTCTGGTCCATAATGTCAGCCTTGGTTCCACCAAGAGAAAAAGTACTTTAAGTCAGTAGGTGGTGTGCTCAAGCACACACCACAAACCTGCAAGTACGATACAAGGAAAACTGGCACCTATAAAGAACTAAATTGCTGATGCAGATGTACCCTTGTGATGCTGGTCCTCATAATAGTAAAATGGCAGTAATTTTTGCAAAGAAGAATGCTTAGTTTATATAGAATGGAAAAATATAAAAAATAAAAAATAATTGTAAATTACTTTTTGAATGACATGTTGCTTGAAAATCATTAGTTAATCAGGCACAAAAAGACTATTGCAAGTATCTTGCTTATCGTTCATCATCCTAACTGCCCATTGCTCTTTGAAACAATAGAAAGTATCATCAGAACCTTGCAGTGTTTAAAATGTTAGACAGATATTTGTTTATAAATAAATTGTTTACTTTCCAGTTTGTTCTAGTACATGACAAGTGTGATTTAATAAGTCCAGAAAGTTACAAAGAGGCATCCATGTTCTCATGTAATGAGAACAACATATTTAGCATTGTGATTTAGGTATCCTCTTAAAGAAAAGAAGCAATTAAGTGAGACTAATTATGTATGAGACAAATAGAGTACTTAATCCACTAAGCCTTCTGTTGAGCTTTTTGTTTAGGAGGTGCACAAAACCAACCCATCCTTGAGACAGTAACCTTAATTGTAAATGACATCAAATGTCACATCCTCTTGTGTTGTGTTGTGCAATGTGTGTGACTGAATCCCTGATAGGGATGCGGTGAGCTCCAAAAGCCAAATCTCCATTGCCTGTTTACCTTTCTTGTGCAAAATGAAAAGCTATAGCAATAATTGTAACTTTTCTGTTGGTGTAGTTGGCTTTTTTGAAGGATTGTTTTGTTTGGCTTTTTTTTGGTTTGGGGTTTTTGACACGTATTTTTATTCTCAGGAAAAGAAAGAGAAGAGAGAGCAGCTGGAGAAGAAGCAAAAGAAGTTGCAGGCTGTCCATGGGGATGAAGTATCCTCTCCCTGGAGTCCACCTGGCAAAGTTACATATTCAATGAATTACTGATCAGGCTACTGATTTCTATGAGAAGAGATGATCTACAAATTTTTGACCATGGCTAGTCATTATTTCAGTAATAGCTGATTTTCATTGAATCCATAGTAGATGTTGCATCCTTTCTTTTTGGTTTATTTTCTTTCTGGAGTTTAAATAGATCATTCGTTCTTTTCCATTGCTTTAGAAAATGCGCTAATTTTTGTAATTCTACATTTAACTTAGTTTTGCTAAATCTCGTGTTGCTTCATTCCTTTTTGATGAAAGTGTATATTCAAGATATGTAAGGCTGGGCTCTGGCATTTTTTTCACCCAGTAAGTAGCACAATGGTTATTTTTAAGTTACTAGGCCACAGTGCTGAGGGGTTAAGTCTGGAAGAAATGCTTTGTGAAGGGCAGGAGGGTTGGTAAGGAGATGGTACTCTCTTCTGGTGATGCAAAGAAGACAACAGGCTAAGCATTATGGTAGGGAGATGTCATTTTCATACATGAAGACACAAGCTACATAGGAGATAATATAATTCTTAGATTATGTTACATTATGAAATATAAAAATAGCTTTTAAATTAAAACTGCATCAAGCAGAAACAGGATTTCATGGGGCCAAAACCAGTCAGCCATATGGTGGTGCAAAAGAATTAAACTGGGATCCATATAATGTAAAATGATCCAGGACTAAAGCAGACTAACTCTTAATTCCATTTCAGGTGTTCATATACATTCCATAGATTTCCTGCATCCTACAGGAAACAGCAGGTTTTAGAGGTATGGTTTTGCAGTTCACACAAAATCTTACATAAAAACTGCAAGAACAGAACAGTGGTACTCTTATGAGGCAACATTAGACACTGAAAATTACTTTTTTGGAATTCATTTTAAAGACTTCTGTGGTTGTTTTTATATGATCAAGTAAATCCTTCCCGAACATGTTTTCATCATTGCTAATGAGCTAGTTGCTGTAGTACATTAATTAAATTTCTTCTGGGTTTTTTTTTTTGTGGCTATTTGCACTGTTTTGAGAACAATGGCAAGACCACATATCTTTAGAGATCTTCAAATCTCTTGATTGCCTACTGTCTAAATTCAAGCTGTTACTTATGTTTGCATTTTCTTGTTTGAATTTTAATAATCACTCTAAATCAGATTTGCTGCTTAAGTGTATACTCTAAAAAAAAAAAAAGGAAACAAAACCAACGTCGCCATCCAAGAAATAAAAAAACAACTCTTTAAATTGTAGATATATTTTCTCAAATGGGAGTCTTGCTCCTGTTTAGACTGACAGCCTCCTTGGGAAGTCAAAGGAGCATTTGAGAAGTAGACTTGCCTTTTTCACTCGAGTCCTGTTCTGTTCATAAATCACTGGGATATTCATTAATTCTGCATTTCATGTAACACTGGGGCATCTCCTCAGAAAAGAAAACCCACAAGACCAGCAACCAGATGAATTTCTTTAGTTTCTTGATGTTTCTTGCTTGTATTTTTACGTTTTAGTAAGAGCCCATTGAGCATTTAGAGACGTTTGTTTTGTCCATAATTCACTCTTGTGAGAATGCTGTACTGGTGAAATTTATTGCTGGTGTGTATGTAAAAGTGAAATCAGAAGGATATCTATTATGTCTCCTTGTTGAATATGGTCCTGTGCATTATTGATAGTATGAAGTCTAGTTCTGTGAATTTGTCATTCAGATCTTCTGCAACGTTTATGAGAGGCAGAAGTGGGTGCTAGAAAGCAAAAAGGTAAGATGTATTTGTTAGAACAGTAGGTAGTCGTATAGTTATCACAATTTACCTAATATCTATCAATAAACAAGTGTAGAAGAAGCCTTGTAAGATGTATACTATTTCTGTTGCATATGATCTATTGTCAGTGTCAAGAAGTATTTGCTAATCTTGAGAATAATGATGGGGTTTCACCAGTAGTTGCACTGGATTTGTGTACAGCCAAATCATCCCACCGATCAGATTTGATCCATTGTGAGGAGTGGTTGCAGATTTGCTACAGCTTCTTCTCAATTATGAACTATGATTTATTGCAGGATCAGGCTTAAGCATATTGCCTGGTATTTTGCACTGCATGTCTCGACTTCCATTTGCCTTGCAGGAACCTTGTTCATGGTGGCCCGCTATGTATTGGGATTTTTGAGCAGATCTCTGCTTGTCCTGGCCCTTTCTTCTAGTTCTGCCTTAAACGCCAGTATTACTGGACCTGGCTTTTATTTAATTTGTTTCTAGCCTTCTGTCACTGGACTGCTCACCCAGAAATGTTGTGACTGGAACAGTTTTTTGTTCCACTAAAGAGCTTATAGAGAAGTGAGGGACCTTTATGACACTCATCCTTTGATTACACGCAGTCTGCAGGTAATGGTAATGCACAATTGATGTCTTCCAGTGGACCTTAATGACAGTAGTGACCTTTTTGCCCCTTCTGTGAGACTCAATTTGTGCAAAGAGTCATCACTCAAATGCTGAGATTCCGGCTAGGGCAACGTTCATACGTGGTTCATGCTAAGCTCACTGTTTTTCATTTGGGCAGAGAAAGACATGAGTCTAGAAGGGGAGAGGGCAGGGGAGAGGGGCTGGAGCGCTGGCTGGAGCTTTCAGAAGCCCCCTGTGACCTGCAGTCTGCTCTTGCAGAGCTGCTGGAGTCCAGCTGTGTTCCTAGGCCGTTGGTGGGATTTCTTTGTGCAGCTTTCTGAGCTTTCTGCACTGCAGCATCGCAGCACATTGCATTCCACAGAAGTCTCCAGTCAGGGAGTCCTGCACGTTAGGTGTTTTGGAGAGATCCAGCAAATCCAGATAGTTACCTGGCTTCAGCCAGGCTCTAGCATGGATATTGCAGGCAAGCAAATACAGGGCTTTCATAACCTCTGGGTCTGGCTCTAGCTGTTATCTCCTGGAAGGTCAGGCAATTTTTGCAGCAGTAGTGGTATCACAACGACAGTGTGGGCATCCAAACAGAAAGCAGAACCCGCTGCTCATGGGTTTCAAGAAGATGCAAAGAGCAGCTTCAGTGGGCAGAGTAGGGTAAAATTACAGATACCAGCAGGAGAGAGGTAGCAGAATTACAGCGTAGGCAGAATACTACAGGCCTGGCAAATCAAAATTAACCCCCCAAAATTTTACAGGCCAAAATACTGGAATGAACCCAAGCATTTAGGCTGGAGCAGTGATGTGCGTCATCTGTCTGCTAGGCTTCTAGCACTTGGAGCCTTGAATTCAGGTGTAGTATGTCAAGAAACTGTAGTTATGATATCACGGGAAGATGAAATCTGTAGCAGACAGCAGTTTGCTGCACGGCTGTCACGGTCAGATCAGGAGAGTGTGAGGCAGAGCCTGCAGCCTGTGTGAAACAAATCGTCTGGATCTTTATTTTTGCAGTGTCCAGCTGGAGCGAGGAGGGCAGGTCCCTGCACTGTTGGGCGTGTAGTTGAGGGATGCAAATGAAGAGGATGGAAGAGGTGGTGGCAGAGCCATCAAAGGGTTTGTCATCTGCCTGTGCCTAAACTGGGTACTGCATCCTTACCCGCTTTAAGCCTTCAGGTGAGTGGAGAGAAAATTTTTGATAGATGATTAAAGCGGGAAGATGCTGGTAACATCTTTCAGAGGAGTGATATACCCAACACGCACGTAAATTCACAGCTTTTCAATTAGAAAAACATGCTGAAGATCCACAGTTGCTACAACTGTGTGTTTAACTTTTATTGTACAATTTTGAGAGCCTTGCCTAATTTCACACTGTGAAAAGTTGGACATGTTACAGCATGATAAAAACCCTGTAGAAAAAATCAAGCTGAGTAATATGAACACATGTACATTAATTTATAAAAATGTACATGTATCTGTAAATCCTAAAGCGGGAAGATGCTGGTAACATCTTTCAGAGGAGTGATATACCCAACACGCACGTAAATTCACAGCTTTTCAATTAGAAAAACATGCTGAAGATCCACAGTTGCTACAACTGTGTGTTTAACTTTTATTGTAAAATTTTGAGAGCCTTGCCTAATTTCACACTGTGAAAAGTTGGACATGTTACAGCATGATAAAAACCCTGTAGAAAAAATCAAGCTGAGTAATATGAACACATGTACATTAATTTATAAAAATGTACATGTATCTGTAAATCCTGTTAATATGCTTATTGATCATAGAGGGAAAATATTTTGGTATTTAATGAAGGATATTTTAGTATAGTGTCCTCAATGTTTTCTCAGATCTTGGTATACAGATCTTTATGTAAAGCCTGTAAACGAACTAGGTGGTGTCCCTAAGCACAAGCTATTCTTTCATCATTGTTAATACAACAAATAAACAGGGAACTGTGTCAGAGCTTCTGGCACTACAGCTCACAGGCTGCAGCTCAGTCTTGCTCACTGCCACACCATCACAAATTAACACCTGTGGAATATGGGGGCTACCAAGTAATGACCTGGAAGATATGTTAATATGCTTATTGATCGTAGACAGAGGGAAAATATTTTGGTATTTAATGAAGAATATTTTAGTATAGTGTCCTCAATGTTTTCTCAGATCTTGGTATACAGATCTTTATGTAAAGCCTGTAAACGAACTAGGTGGTGTCTCTAAGCTCTCATCATTGTTAATACGACAAATAAACAGGGAACTGTGTCAGAGCTTCTGGCACTACAGCTCACAGGCTGCAGCTCAGTTTTGCTCGCTGCCACACCATCACCAATTAACACCTGAGGAACATGGGGGCTACCAAGTAATGACCTGGAAGATGATCAGTATCTCATTTTTTTTCCACAGTATTTTTTCTAGCATTAAGTTGTTACACAGGTGCACTAAAAGGAACAGGTTCATGGCGCAATTAAACAAACTTAAAAAAATTGTGCTTCAAACAGGCCTGCCAAAAACTGAAGCACTGATCACCCAGTGCTGTCCAGCCACAATGTAGGCACATGACCAAAATGCCCTCTTTCTCTGGGACCATCTCTTTGCAGAGGGAAATTTATATAAATTAACTAAACAAGGAGATAGGATTACATTAAGGATAAGTAATTTTCTTTTCCAATTCTCTCATTCTGGGTAAGAAAGATTGTGTGCTGTTCACTGTCATACCTCACAGTGTTTTTTCCGGCATTAAGTTGTTGCAGAGGTGCACTAAAAGGAACAGGTTCATGACTCAAACTTAAAAAATTTGTGCTTCATACAGGCCTGCCGAAAACTGAAGCACTGATCCACCCAGTGTTGTCCAGCCACAATGTAGGCACATGACCAAAATGCCCTCTTTCTCTGGGACCATCTCTTTGCAGAGGGAAATTTATATAAATTAACTAAACAAGGAGATAGGATTACATTAAGGATAAGTAATTTTCTTTTCCAATTCTCTCATTCTGGGTAAGAAAGATTGTGTGCTGTTCACTGTCATACCTTCTTTTTCTTTCATTTTCACAAAACACAAGGCCATTAGATCATTTTACCTGGTGTGTATATTATGGACTACTTTGTTTCACTCAGTTAGTTGTGTGTTAAACTGAGTCACTTGCGTCTGACTCACAGGGATGAGCTAGTTTGGGTTGTGAATGGTGATGGCAGCCTTGGCAGCAAGTCAAGAGTTGGACTTGCTCTAGTATGTCAGTGTCTTTCTTGCATGGGGGAGCCCAAAACTGGACATGGTGCTCCAGATGCACTCTAACTCCCAGATACTCTCCTGAGCAGCAGGACCATGTTTTTCCTTCACTGTCAACGTACCTATAGAAGTCCCTTCGTTCTCCTGGGCAGTTTCCTGTGACATCCTTGCAAAACAGATCCCTGAACAAGCCATTGCTTTCTCTCCTGAACGCTAAGGTTGTGGTTCTACTATTTTTCTTTCTTGCTTCTTACAGGATTGAAAGCTTCACAATCTCAGAGTCATGGCAGCCAAGTGGCCATCAGCTTTCACAGCCCAGACTAGATAATCCCTGTACCCATGCAATAGCTAAACTCAAGTCCCAGATAACTCTTAGGTCATCAGCATTTCCACCTTCAGATTTCTATTGAGATTCTAAAGTTTTTAAGAACAATTTCTAAAATTTTAATAACATTTATTAGATAGATTTTCCCCTAATGGGTAATAAAGTAATTGCAAAACTCTTACCTCATTATTTCAGCCTGAAGCATGGAGAAGTCTGCTCCTATTAGCAGACTGCATTCAGGCAATTAAGCTACGTTTTCAACAGAGCACATGATTTTAGCACCTACACTCAAAACAGAAGAAAAGTGACAATAGAAGCCCTTGGTACTGCAAGGTATTTTTCTTTTTTACTACTGTTTCATTTATGAATAGTCTTTTTCTGTGATGCTTTTATTTTGGTAGTTTCAGACTAGAACAGCTGAAAGTTTTTTCACTAAATCTTCATTTAAAGAAGAAGTGAGAAGTCCCATTATAGTTTAATAATTTTTCATGACTAGAAATATAAAATGAATATATATTCATTTTCATGAATATAAATTGGGATGTCCAGTCCTTGTTGATAACAAGTGATAGGAGGATAACATTGTTTTCAAGCATCATTAACTCTCAACAAGTGAAGTAGGATGTTCCACCATTTAACTGTTTTAATGCCCAAGTATAGTATAGATATTAACAATAATACCCTGGTTGACTTATATTTTCCTTTGCACCATTTAACACGGCATAATAAACTGTGGAACCATCCCCACATGCTGCTTTCTAACAAAATAATAAGGAAAAACAACAGGAAAAAAAAATAAAGGGAAAATATACACATTGTCCTCAATCTATTTCACTTTCTTAAAGGAAGCATCTGCAGAATAATGGAGAATAATGGACATTTTGCAAAAAAAAATTCTTAGCA